GAGGGTTTAAGTATTAGGCTTTGTTTGGATGGAGTGATTTGAGAGAGTGGAAATGAGAGAGTGGAAAAGGAGGGATTTAAAGAGAAATGGAGATGATTGAAAAGTAAAAGGAAAGTTTATGGGAAATTGTGAATGATTTGATTGATATGAGATATAAAAATTATAATTTTATGTTTATTATTTAAGAAAATTACCATTTTACCCTTTGTATCAAATAAGGTTCAAATGATTATAAATATAATTTTTTAATTAATTATCCATATTTTAATATTGATTATATATTTAAAAGAAAAAACAAATTTAAAAGTGTTTGTAATTGGAAACAAATTTAAAAAATTAACTTTTTTTAGATAGTTATTAAAAATTATATAAATAAACAATTACAAAATTATGTACATTGCATATCCATATTCAAATAATGTTGACATATTAAATAAATTATTTGACTAATAATTAAATAATTATAAAATATAAAATAATAATTAATATTGATTGATAATAACAAATAATTATGAAAACTAATAATATAATTGTACATTATTATTTAAAACAAATATAAAATACGAGTGAAAATAGAATAATAATTAAAGGAAAGATTACTAAAATTATAAATCTATGCACACTAATGTTCTTCAAACAAATAATTATAATGTTATCCATCTTTTGTAGTGAAGTCCTCCAGTTCGAGATCATTCAATCACCTCCATTCAAGAACATGAACAACTGGGAGAGACGAAGATGTGAGGGCAAGCCAAAAAGTCGTCTAACATGTGATGGGTGAGTACACAAATGATTATAACACTGAAGCATAAGTTGCTCGTCATTTAGGTTCATGCCGACTAACATGTCCCATATATCTGACTCCGAATGTTGAAACGGTTCCAGTAATAACCGCTAATACAAATATATATAAGATAGCGGTTAAATTGGACCGCTATTATATATACACTTTTAAGAGCGGTTACAAAGACAACCGCTCTTAAAAGTAACATGTGATAGCGGTTATATGTTAACCGCTACCTAAAGTTTTCAAATGATCGATTATTTTGCCAAAATGATCGATCACAGTTCCAAAACCTTGACACTTTAGATAGCGGTTCACCTAAAACCGCTATTACAAGTTATATTTCGCTTGAGCGACCGTAAACTCGCTCGAGCGAAGACACCTGCACATAATTTTCATCCTCGGGTTGTTTTTCGCTTGAGCGAACTGATCTCGCTCGAGCGACTAGCAAAGATCTCGGTGATTTGATGAAGTCAAAGATAAAATCAAAACGCATTTCAATCGATTAAAACGCATTTCAATCGATTAAAATGACTTAGAAAAATTACATGCGAGGTTTTAATCGATTAAAACTTCTTTGTATCAGTTAAAATAACTTGAAAAGTGTTATAAGAAATTTTTAAACTGAATCAATCGATTAAACCGCGAATCAATCGATTAAATCACTCTTAGAAAATATTTGTAAAAAGTTTTAACTGATAAAAACTTGGTCGTATCAGCTAAAACAATTCTGTTAAAGAACAAGAACGCATTAATGGGTTGAAAGGACTTTTAACAAATTATAACGGCTATTTCAACAGATTAAAACAAACTTTGAACAGCTTGCTCTCTAATCCCACTGCTGATTGGATTGAACTGAAAAAAGCGGAGCTTAGGTAGGCTACAGCAACTCTCAAAGCGTGAGCTCATAAGCCGTATTTCGCTCGAGCGACTATATCTCGCTCGAGCGAAATACGATCCTGATCGATCATAAGTTGAAATGATCGATCATAATTGGAGGATATAATAGCGGTTCCTCATGTAATCGCTATCTAAAGTGTATATTAGATAGCGGTTCCGAGTGGAACCGCTATCATATACAACCATATTTTAATTTCTTGAGTCTCGGGTTGTGTTTCGCTTGAGCGACTATATCTCGCTCGAGCGAAATATGATTCTGATCGATTAGATTTTTGAAATGATCGATCATATTTCATAATTTTTTCAAATAATTAATTCTAATCGATTATTTTTCTAAATTATTGATTAGAATTGATTAATTTTTCAAATAATAGCTTAGAATTGATTAATTTCAAAATATATATTAAAAAATTATAATTAAAAATATAGATTATTTAAGAATATTAACTATTGTAAAGATAAAGTAGAACATGGGAGGAGATGAGGATGATAATATAATGATAGAAGTTACAAAAATGTAGCATTGAGAAGTTTGAAACAAAAAAAATTAAGAAAATAGAGATTTAATTACACTTTTAATAAATTGAAGATAATTACAATATAATTTTCTAATTTGAGAATGAACAATATAATTAAGAAGATCAAGTGTAATGTTATTGATGCTAATTTTAACAATAATACAATAATATTATTTTGGAAAATGCCCATATTCATGTGAATATTTTGATTATTATTATATAAAATAATTAAAAGAATAAGGTAAATAGAAAAGTAAAATGCATGGTTATACCACTTTCCTTTTAATCTATAATTAGTTAGGTATGAATCAAATGTAAAGTCTAATGTTATTGATGCTAATTTTAAGAAGATCACAAAATGTAAATTAAATAACTACAATATAAATTTCTACTTTGAGAATGAACAATATAATTAAACTCAAAATTGAGAATACTCTTATACATTTTTGAACTCTTTTGGATAAATTTTATTTTCCTAATTTTTGATAAAGTTAATTTTAATATTTAAAAGTATTTAACATTTTGAATTACGAAAGGTTTTCTCTAATAGCAAATTTAAAAACATAATATTCAAAAAAATATTTTAAGATTCGAGTCTCGGGTTGCATTTCGCTTGAGCGACTATATCTCGCTCGAGCGAAAAACGATACTTGATCGATCATAATTTGAAATGATCGATCATAAGCTGGAGGATATAATAGCGGTTCCTCTGTAATCGCTTATCTAAAGTGTATATTAGATAGCGGTTCCAGTGGAACCGCTATCATATACAACCAAATTTTTAATTTCTTCGAGTCTCGGGTTGTGTTTCGCTTGAGCGACTATATCTCGCTCGAGCGAAATATGCTTCGATCGATTAGATTTAGGTAATGATCGATCATAATTGGAGGATATAATAGCGGTTCCTCTGTAATCGCTATCTAAAGTGTATATTAGATAGCGGTTCCAGTGGAACCGCTATCATATACATATTTTAATTTCTTCAGTCTCGGGTTGTGTTTCGCTTGAGCGACTATGTCTCGCTCGAGCGAAATATTGGAGGATATAATAGCGGTTCCTCTGTAAGCGCTATCTTAAGTGATATATAATAGCGTTTAAGATTTAACCGCTATTAGAAGTGATATATAATAGCGGTTATGTTTTAACCGCTATTAGAAGTGATATATAATAGCGGTTAAGTTTTAACCGCTATTACAAGTGCTGTTATAATAGTGGTTAAGATTTAACCGCTATCATATATTGCAGGGTAACAGCGACTTTTCATTACTTTCATCTCTTTTCTTCGCACCTCAGCGAAGAAACTCTCTCTCTCATCTCCCCCTTTTCCTCGCCTGCATTTCGTCGCAAATCAGTTCAACCAAATGTGGGTGAATCTCGTGTTTCTGTCTTCGTGAACAGTATTTCGTCGCAAATCAGTTCAAACAAACAGGGGCTTAATGTGGGAACCCTTACTAACAGTTATAACTTTTGGCTAAGTGGCTACCATTGCGTGCTCATCCTTTGGTATCAGGATGCGCACTTGATTCCTGTCGAGGACGGAATTGGGGCAACAGACTAAGTGACTACCGCTGCGTGTTCATCTAATAATTAATTTTTTAATAAATAATAACGTAATCCGTGCGTTGCACGGTTAATAAAACTAATATTTAATAAATTCATGGAACTGATTCATTTTAAATAATTTCCTTCTGTCATTTACTCACTCTTCCTTTTCCTACAAATTCTCTCCATCCTTATATTTCTGTTGTCTAAATCTGACGTGTCTATTTCTGCTTCCGAACTAGGGAGCCTCGTTCTACTAAGGAAAAATATTTTTTTACACTGTCTTTTTAATAAATAATCATTCAATAATTTCCTTTAATGTAATTTTAATTTTAATTATTTTTCATAATTTTTAGATGAATAGAATAAGTTTTTGAATGAATAAAATGGTTGTTTTGAATGAATACTTTGTTTACATGACTTCAGCTCGCTTCTAATAATCACGTTTTTACAAGTCACCTTCCTCAAATGTCCAACCACAAGTCGCCACGTCAACATGGTGATATTCAGACAGCACCCCATCGTGTGCTCACTAGGACCTGATAATTTCCGATCCATATTAAGACACAGACAGAAAACTCGCTGCTTCTTTCTCTCTCTAAAACAAAAATTATACGAAAGGAGCTTTGGTTAGGGGAACTTTCATGCACTGACTGGAGCTCAGCTTAATCTGCAAATCCCATTTCAGGTGCTTCAATTTTCACCTTTGTGTTTGAAAGATTCAATTTTGTTATCTGGTCTAGGAGTCCACACCCTGGATTTGATTTTCGTACCCCGTTTTGAAACCCTAGGATCTGATCTGGATAAGGATATAAAGTTTGTATTTTTGTTTCTCTGCTGCCATTTTCATGTTCTTTTCGATCCTACAGGGTGGTCGTTTTTTTTTCTTGTCGTTAGATTTTTGTTGTGTTATAGATTTTTACTTTCCAAAATCTGAATGAGGGTAGTATGAAAGTTTTATGGTTCTATGTAGCAGCCAATTTTTTGTTATGGTTTTTACATTTTGAATGGATTTTTATTGTCATTTTTCCGGGCTACTTACTCTCTAAATTTTATTGCAGTTTGTAACAGGAACTGTTGTTTTTCCCTGTGTTATCTCCAAGGATTGCATCTTTGGACCCTTGTAGTGTGATCTTTCGTACTTTTATGTTTGTAGCATTTCATTGACTTTTCTGTACACTGAAATTGTTGGGTACTGAACATTGGGGAAGGTTGCTTGTAGAAGAGATTATTGCTACTGCTTTAAATTTGTGCCAATGGAACACCATTTTGGTCAAGACACTGCACATGCATCTGGGTCCTTTGATAAGACTAGGGTTTTGAATGTGAAGCCATTAAGAACTCTTGTTCCTGTGTTCCCTTCACCATCTAATCCTGCTTCATCTTCAAGTCCACAAGGTGGTGCCCCATTTGTTTGTGTTTCTCCTTCTGGTCCTTTCCCTTCTGGGGTTGCACCCTTCTATCCATTCTTTATTTCTCCAGAATCCCAGAGGCTCTCTGAACAGAATGCACCAACCTCCACTGGTCAACGTGTGCCTGCTACTCCGATATCTACTGCAGTTCCAATTAATTCATTTAAGACACCAGCTGGAGCTGCAAATGGTAATGTGGGCTCATCGCGAAAGACTACCCGAAGTCGTGGACAGGTCACAGTCACAGAGGAAGATGGCTACAATAATGTTGAGATAGTTGAAGTTGATGGAGATGAAGAAACTGGGACTGGGAGGTCAAAGCGCAAGTTGCAGAAGAAGATGAAGGGACAGCAGAGTGGCGGTCCTGGTGATATTGATCCAGATGCAGTGGCTGCTGATATTCTCAAGTCACTTAACCCAATGGTTTTTGAGGTACTAAATCAACCAGATGGTAGCAGGGACTCGGTTGCATATACACTCATGATATATGAAGTAATGCGAAGGAAGCTTGGACAAATTGAAGATTCAAATAGGGCAGCTAACTCTGGTGCAAAACGACCTGATTTGAAGGCAGGTGCAATTATGATGAATAAAGGCATTCGAACCAACAGCAAGAAACATATTGGACCTGTGTCTGGTGTTGAGATTGGGGATATTTTCTTTTTCAGATTTGAATTGTGCCTAGTGGGTTTACATGCACCATCTATGGCTGGAATTGATTACATCGGTACCAAAACCAGTCAAGAGGAAGAGCCCTTAGCTGTGAGTATTGTCTCATCTGGAGGGTATGAGGATGATGTGGAGGATGGGGATGTGCTGGTTTACAGTGGCCAAGGTGGGGTTAACCGTGACAAGGGAGCAAGTGATCAGAAGCTTGAAAGGGGTAATCTTGCTTTGGAGAACAGTTACAAAAGAGGTAACGAAGTGAGGGTAATTAGGGGTTTGAAGGATTTGCAACATCCAACTGGGAAGGTATATGTCTATGATGGCCTTTACAAGATTCAAGATTCCTGGGTGGACAGAAAAACTGGCTTCAACGTATTCAAGTATAAATTATTCAGGCTGCCTGGACAGCCTCAAGCATATATGATTTGGAAATCCATTCAACAATGGACGGATAGATCTGCTTCAAGAGCTGGGGTTATATTGCCGGATCTTACTTCCGGGGCTGAAAAAGTACCTGTTTGTCTTGTGAATGATGTTGATACTGAGAAGGGCCCTGCATATTTCACTTACCTCCCAAATCTTAAGAATTTGAGGCCAACTGCTCCTGTGGAATCTTCTATTGGATGTTCTTGTGTTGGTGGATGTCAACCTAACAATTTAAACTGTCCTTGTGTTCAAAAGAATGGAGGCTTTCTACCATATTCTTCAGCTTCATTAATTGCGGACCTAAAATCTGTTATATATGAGTGTGGTCCTTCTTGTCAATGTCCTTCTAATTGCCGAAACCGAGTTTCCCAAGTTGGCTTGAAGTTTCGGTTGGAGGTTTTTAAAACCAAGAATAAAGGTTGGGCACTTAGATCATGGGATGCTATTCGGGCAGGATCTTTCATATGTGAGTATGCAGGGGAAGTCATAGACAGTGCTAGAGTGGAGGAGGAGCTTGGTAGTGACAATCTCAATGATTACATTTTTGATTCTACTCGCATTTATCAGCAACTGGAAATTTTTCCTGGTGACACTGAAGCTCCAAAAATCCCATCCCCCCTATATATATCAGCAATAAATGAAGGGAATGTTGCTCGGTTTATGAATCACAGCTGCTCTCCAAATGTATTATGGCGTCCAGTCATACATGAAAATAAGAATATGTCAGATCTCCACATTGCTTTCTATGCTATTAGACATATCCCTCCTATGATGGAGTTAACTTATGATTATGGGACAGTTCTTCCTCTCAAAGCAGTTCATAGGAAAAAGAAATGCTTATGTGGATCTGTGAAATGCAGGGGTTACTTTTGTTAATTATTTATCTGATGAATTTTAGATGAGGAGGCATCTGAATGAATATACTTAAAGATAAGGTTAGTCTACATTTTTTCAACTTACTTTCTTATAAACTAAATATTTCTTCTTCTTACTTTATCCCTCCCTGTATTTCTATCTCTTGATCAGTGATTAAGCTTTGGAGGTAGCAGAATTTTTTTTTAAAATCTTTTGCTATAGCAAGGAAGACTATACTTGTGGAGTTTTGTTTACTAAATTAATTATATTGTTATTCCCTTGTGTTACTATCATTGACATACCTTTTCCTCCTTTATTGCATCATCCCTAATCCTGATACCACTTGACTATTTTTAATAAAAAATGGTATAGATTTTTTCCCTACCAAAACATTCAGAGAAATATAGTTAGGGTTTTGTAAAATGGTTAGAATATACTTCCAAAGGATGATTTCTTAGAAAGTAGAAATAGTTTCCTTAGACTTAAATTTGCTAGCAATGCAAACCCTTTTCCACTTCCACATTGCTGAATCCAGGTGTTGAATCTGTGATATAATGTTCATGAATTAATTGTTCCTTAAGCAAAAGTTATTGAAAGATGCATGGATGTTTATGACTAACATGTATACTTGAAAATTGAAATCCTCCCAACATTGACAATGATGAAACAATTATTACTTAATGATGTGTATTGATTGAGCAAAGGACTAACAAACAATGTATTTGTTTTTCTAAGCTAAGAAGAGGTTCTTACATTCCTAACCAATTTTAAACTTTTGCTTTCAGGTGTAGAATTTCTGTCCTTGGCGTAGAAATAGCATTGCTTCTGGTTTCACAGCTCCAGCTATACAGCCAGACAGCAGGATGGAACTATGTAGAAGGATGTTAGCAGACAAACTTTTCTTTTTGGCAAACCTAGTAACTTGGCACATGAAAGATCAATCAAGTTTTCTATTTACTAACGATAGTAAGTTAAGTTGTAAAAGGTAACTGTAAGACACATTTTGTGAAGATTTTTCTTTTTCTTCTGTTAGATACAATTTTTTTTTTCTCTTAGGATGGATTTTGAGTAGGGCTTTAGAAGTCCACTTGGTAAAATTGAACTAGACCTGTAGATTGGATATCTAGTTTTTTTGCCATCATTTTCAAAAATCATCCTAATATTTTATTATTTTGCATGTTTGTCCAGGGAATATCCAATCCTACAAATAATCGTTAGTTTAAACTCACTAGTATACCTCATGTTAGATGGTTCTGAAAATTTTCTGTTTTGAAGTTGGAAATGAAACTGCAGAAAAAGAACATTTGAATCATAGAAATCTATACTTAGAAGTTTGAAGGGGCATGTTATTTGTTTTGTTTTGAATTTAAGGGGCCTTATGATACAAGTAATTTTTTTAGTTTATTGAGAATCTGAAGTTTGGAAAATATATTTTTCATATTTGACTTCATTTTAAATCTAAGAAATAATGTTTCCGGGAATGATTTTCAGTCAAGTCCATAAAAATCATTCACGCGGATAGAGATGGAAGTGTTTTTTTTTTTAATGTTAAATTAAAATTGTTACTGCATCAAAACTATAATGTTATTTTTATTAAATTATTTATCGTGAAAAAGAATGTAATCTTTTCAGTAAAAAGTAACATATTTCTGTTTAATTTTTACCAAACAATAAACATTGTTTTAGGAATATTTATAAGCATTTAAGCAGATTTTAAATATTTTTTTAAATTCGTACCTTGAAGGATCTTAGAGGAATCATGATTTTCATGCATGAATTCTTTCTCTTGAAGGGAACGTTCTTTAGGAATGTTTCAAATTATGTTTGGGATAGTTCCTTTTTTCTCCACTTATCCCTATTTTTTAGAATGGAAAATGTACTATTTAAATTATTTTTCAGGAATAATTATTAAAAAATTTACCTAAAGTTTCAGTATGTTTGTTAAAGCGATTTAGGGTATTTAAGCCTATTTACAGTTTAAATTCTCTTCTTGATTATGGTTTAAGTACTTAATTTCAAATACTGAAATTATTTAGTAAAATCTTGAAAGTGACTTCTGATAATATCATTAGTTAAATCTTATTTATTTATTTATTTCATTTTTGAATCTTGTAATTATGATAGGTGTGTTTAAGAATCAATATAAAAAAATTGCAAATTGATAAACTAAAATTCATTAAGACTAAAACATCATTAAATTCTTTTTTCAAAATTGTTCGATTTGATCTAAATTTTGAATTAAAAATTAAGAATTAAATCAAACTATTTATTATATTTAAATATAATATTATATATTTAGAGTTAATTATTGTTTAATAAACACGGATATGCTTTTTAATGTTTATTACTTAAAATATATTTATGCTTATTAAAAATATGATATAATTTTAATTTTAAGATAATGTAATTTATCAATAAAATTAAAACTACTATTATAAAAATAATTATGTAATTTTTTAATATATTTTTTATTTAAGAAATTATTTGTTTTTTAAAAATTATTTAATAATTTTATAATAATGAAAAACAAAAAATCGAATTAAACTAGACCATAAATAATAATTTAGATTGATTGAGAATTTATATTAAATTAAAATCGAATAAAATCCAATCATTTTTAATATTTAATATTTATATTTAATTAGGATGATTATTTTGATAAAAAAACTAAACTAAATAGATAAGCAAACACCTAACGCAAAACACAGAGCATTCACGTCAACTTTGATTAAAGTAGTGCTTGGTTTAATTTGTTTTCTTTTAATTTTTGTCTATAAAAAAATTCTTGAAGAAAAGATATTTGTTAAGAATAAACATCTATTTCATAAATTTGTTTATAACCACTTATAAAAAAGAAAAATAAAAAGGAAAAATTAATAATTTTATTATAAATTAAAATAAACTTATACATAAATATATTTATATTAATTTTTATATAAATTTAATTTAATTTTTAGAAATTAATTTCATAAAATAAATAATAATTACTTCTTTTCAGTCTTTCTAATAAGTGGAAAAATTGATTCATCAATCCACTTTTATCATGTATGTAATGCAGCAAATTATATAATATTTAATCTAATTTTATTATATTTATTTTTTAATTAATTTTTTAAATATATTATGATAATGATAAATAATAAATATACTTAATTATTCAAATATAATGTTATATTAAAGAGATAATAATTAACATTAAATAAATATATCTTATTTTTTAAAATAATTTTAGTAATAATACTATAAATAAGACTAATTTATTCTTATAATCACGCACTAATATTCATTCACAACTTGTTATCACTATATTTGTTCTCATAATAACTTAAGTTTCAGAAAGTTGATAGATTTGAATGATGCGTCGTCGGCGTAAGGGACGTGCGATTCGACGAGTTATCATGAATCATTAAAGTAGCAGGCATGACCTGCATAAACATTTTATCTAATAAATGTATCATTTCTAGAAGTTGTTGGGGTTTGTTGCACGTATTAGCTCTAGAATTACTATAATAGATACCATCAAACAAACTATAATTTATTTAATGAGTCATTCGCTCGTTATAAATAATCACTATTTTAATAATCAATAGGATTCGGTTACATAAATTTTAAAATGTTTATGATAAAGACCAACTTGTCCAAACTCCATAGATGATCTCTTAATTATAACTTATTATTGTATTTTTCTGACAAAGACATTTGGTGTCTACCTTGAGGCTCAGTGAAACATATAACAAACCACATTCAAGTGATTAGAGATTATTTTGAACATGTAACAATATGAATGTCAAAAATATTATTAACAATTTGAAATCTCATATGAAAGAAATGTAAATAATGAACGAGGCAAATATATGTGCAGAATTCGAGAGAATTAAGCTAAAGCACAAGGGCGTGGTTGATGCGTTTAGAAGGCCAAATGAAGAAGTTGAAAAACAATGGTGTACTCTAACAAAATTTCCTCTGACATATTACACTTCATTTGATACAATTCTAGTCGTGGTACTAGTCACTACCCCTTGCAGGAAAGACTTACAACGATGAGTTTAATTTAGGAGATGCTCAAATTGAGCCTGGATCAAGTATGAAAAAGTTTTATCCTTATCATGTTGGATGCTAATTGAAGTTGAAAATTTCACTCCTAGAACTTTGGTAGAATCACTATTTATCGAGTGGAAAACCCCTACTATGTAAAGGTTTGGAGGATGAACGAATTTAGATGAACATATCTGGTCTTATCCGACACAAATTAATATGGTAGAAGTAATCCTTTCTAGTGTAGAATTTTTCCTATGGTTACACTTAAGTGGTTTTATGATCTACCCACTAGATCAATAAAATTATTTGAGAGTTTGACCCAAAAGTTGAGTTAATTTCATAGCCACCAAAAAATATTGACTAACCTCCCTCACCCTTTAGGGGTTGAAATAAGAACAAAATGAGTCTTTGAGAAACTTTATAGAATGATTTACCAATGTGAGTCACACAATAAATAAACAAATAAATAAATATATATATATATATATATATATATATATATATATATATATATATATATATATATATATATATATATATATATACTTCCTCTTGATCTAATAATCAATTTTATGATATGAGTGTTAAGGATAACCTATACATGGACTATTCAGTTATTAGAGGAACTCAAAACTCGGACCTCCAAGTTCATATAACTAGAAGAGAATATTGAAATCAAGAAAAGAAGAGACCAAGAGAGGGAAGATCCATCTCATATGTAAACTCAAAGTAGAGATTAAGATGAGATGATAGCAAGAAGAAAGAAAATTACCCCCTTAAATGCTAGTGTTGAAATAGTTTTAAGAGAGACATGCAATTTAGAGTTCATCAAGCTATCAGAACTAACAACCACACCCCAAATGAAGATCGGTCAAAATAAGGTGCATAACATCCAAACTTTGGTAATACCATTGACAATTACAAAAAACATTATAAGACCATAGATCTTATCTGAGCTAGTTCTTTAGATTGATTTATTCATGGTTATAAGCAAGATCTAGGGTACAAACAAGAAATCTCTCAAGGTTTCCATGGTCTAGGCCACACACGTTTTGGTGGCCAAGGACAAGGCCATAATCAGCCTCTAGTAGATAGTCAACTAGTGGCTACTAACTCATAAAATGCACCAAATGATGAAAGGAAAGTAAAGGGCATGATTAAAACTATTGTAGGTAGATTTGTAGGAGGGGGAAGCACAAGTTCAGTTCGAAAGCCACACTATTAATAATGGTAACGTAGCTCAATCACTAAGTTGAAAATATTGTCCCCAATAACCTTCATTAATGAAGATTTAAGCTCACAAGACCCAAAGCAAGATGATATCATGGTAATCACAATTTACATTATCAATTGGGGAATAAAAAAGACATTTATTGATTAAGGAAGTTTGAAGAATATATTATAGTGGTCCTCCTTTTTGAAGATGGAAATATCACACATTCTAATCCAACCTTACACAGACCCCCTTGTTGGATTTATCGGAGAACAAGTTCACACACCTGGATACATAGATTTGTTGACCACCTTTGATATTGGTGTTAGAATCGCGCAGCGGAATGTTCGCGTGGTCGGACAAAAACCAAGAGGGGGGGTGAATTGGTTTCTTAATAAAAATTAGGTTTTCAAAATTTTCCCCAAATTTTACCGATTAAAAACTGCGTAAATGTAAATAGAGAAGAGTAGAGAAGATTACACAAGTAGGTTTATACTTGGTTCGGATCAAAAGACC